TTCAGGAGTCAGCACTGCAAGGCCTACGTGTTTGCCAGGAGGGGCTTAAATGGCAGGCATCTTTTAAGTGGAGGTTGGGTTTGGGGCTTGCTATTTTATCTTTGTTTTTTAGCTGGGTATGTTTTAGTTATTACTATAAGCTGCCTTGAATCAAGAAGAAAGGTGGGATATAAACAAAGAAATAAACTGATGGGCAATAACTGGTAAAAACCTAGAAGCCAGAGAATTAGTGGGGTATAATTTTCATTACTTTAAGGTAAAGCTTGCCTGTGTAGCACCTTGCCCCTCCTCACAACCAGCAAAACAGGGCAAGTTGTATAAAGTAGTAACATGTCTCCTTTGATATAATTCTGCAGTTTGTGAATTTATAGCTGAGTTCAGCTTTTCATAGTGTGGGAGTGGGATTACAGGACTGCAGAATTCTATTTATTATTATTATTATTATTATTAGTAGTAGTAGTAGTAGTAGTAGTAGTAGTAGTAGTAGTAGTAGTAGTAGTAAAAAGCATAGCCCATAATTCTGGATGGTAATGTATTAGTAGTTCTTCAACTAAGGAACAGTTTGTTGTGAATCTTATGTATCTTATGTATCATATATGGAGCTTCAATGTTCTGAATTCCCTCTATAAATATAGATGCCCTTGAAGAAACTAATTTTTAGAATGTACTTAAAGACTTCCAGTTTAGCCTATCTCATTGAATGGGGCCTCACATTATAACTACACACTTTTAAGGTTTGTTGCTGGTAAAATGCATGGGCAAGGAGGTAAAGAGATGCTTTTCATCAGTGTAGAAACTGGACGAACAAAGTCTGGAAAAATTATGGTTTTGCACAAACTAACTTGCCAACCCACAGTGAAATGAATCAACAAATATTTTCTACCATCTTTCTCTTCCACTCCCCCTTGTATCAAATTCCCAGACAAAAATGAAAATAAAAGAAAGCATTTCTGTTTATGTCTAAATCTTGATTGTTGAAACCATATTTTTTCACCCTGAAAATATAGTGAAAGTTCTGCAAAGTTATTCAAAAGATGAGTTATTGTTAAAGTTTATGCATGTATCCAGCACATCTGATTTGTCCCGTTACTCTCTTTCTCTGCTATAAGAAGGGTTGCATTTGACCTACCGTGATTTATATCATTAACTGAAATATGTGTTCATAAAATTCTCAGTAAATAAAATGTTTCAGAAAACATACTGCTAAAATGGAACTAACGCAAATAGGCAAGTGTGCTTCTTAATTCTTAGCCCAAACTTGGAACTTGATATATTTCACCTAGTTAAAAATATTTTAAAATGAGGGGAAGGTAGGTAATATTTATAGTAAAGGGGGGGTAAGATGTACCATATAGACTAGGTGGAATAAATAACGTTATTTTAAAAGAAATTTAACAGAAAGCTGTAAATCAGTATAGGACCTCTGGTGTTAGCATTGCATTCAGGGCCTAGTTGGAGGAAGGTGAGGATTATTATAGCTTTGACACCCTATCAGTACAAGTACTTTAACCCCAGGGTTGTAAGTTTTGTCCATTGAGTATACCTCACATTGAATATTACTGAAGTTAGTATGAACATGCTGGCAATTTTGGAACCCTTGGGTTTTATATTTTTGTATTCATTTTATTTGCACAACAACTGCTCATCCCAAAAAGTTTCATTTTAGATCAGGCCTTGACAAAAAAAAAAAAAAAAGCTCTAGGAGCCATCCGAAAAATTTAGAACTCAGATTTGTTTTTCAAGGATTTACATTTTAGTAACATATCCTCTGATTATTGCGACCATAAAATTAATCCTACACAGTTCCTTGTAATTTTATTAAAACTATGATAAAAGTAGTATATAAATAAATATAGGGTTAATTCTGGTTGTCATCAGCATAGCTAAAAAGTTAATCTCTAATTCTAATTTAATTTATCCCCATTTTCTCATAATTGTATTATTGCTTTAAAAAGCTCTGTTTAATTGAATATTGGAGTCAGTGTATTAAGCAACTGGTTAAAAAATTAATTCATTCACCACATTGCATTATGTTCAGTATTCATATGAATAACCATTGATAGGAACTTCATACATATTTTTATGTCATACTTGGAGGAGCACATAAATAGTAATTTGTTGCATTACAAAGGAGACATTTTCCACATAAATCTAGAGTAGGGTTAATTTTGCTTGCTGCGACTACTTTCAGATATAAAATTTTGTCTTCCTTAGGTGCTTACGGATTGTTTAGTAAAATTTCTTAAAATAAATGACAAAAGCGAGCAAGTTCTCAGGAAAAATGTTATCTGTTAGTTTGAAATAATCTTACCTGAATTCTCTTCAGTGAGTTGTCAAAGCTTAAATAATAAGCTCTCCTGTATTGAAGTGCAAGGGCATTTCCTTGTGAATTACTTTAATTCATGCATGTTACTGTCTTTTGGTATTGCATTATGTGTTGAAGAGAGGATTGTGTCATAAGGGTATTTATTGTAGTATCAATCTTTCCCTGTGGCTCCCCTAGCAAGCAACTACTAATATATTATTTACAAATTATCTGTAAATTTGTTTCTGTTCTAAGTCCTGATTTTAGGCTTTATTTGGAAAGTAGTATGAAGCAAACAAAATATATGCATTTTATGTAGTGCCATTTATATCTGAATTGTGGGGTTTATAGTACACCTCAATCCCTTAGCCTGTGGAACTCTGCAGTAAATGTTCTTAGTGATAATCTGTGTGCCAACTACCTTAGAATTTATGGATAATCTGTGTGCCAACTACCTTAGAATTTATGGATATAATTGGGAAAGGGAATTATATCCATAAATTCTAAGGTAGTTTGAGCAATTTCAACAATACCTTACTTTCATATTCTGCTTGGTATTTTGATTAGCCACATGAATTGTCCATAGGGTATTTTTCTTTTGTCAATATCAAGCATATGAATAAATGGTATCTGGACTGTAGATAGAGCTCACATTTTTTTTCTTATATGGTGTCATACAAGAAAGTTCTCTTCAGTTACTGCACAGAAATTCATTCCTTAGCACTGCACATTCCTTCAGACTCTTGACCTTTGGATAATGTGTTCCTGTGGAAGTATAGTAGATTATAAACTTAAATTGCATTCTAGAGTTGCAGCCATAATTTGCAGAAGGATTAGAAACTGAGGTTATGTGTACCACATGACAATATGAAGACATATATTGTGTGTGGCTTTTTAATGTACCTAGTGATTTTCAGAGAGGGGCAGAGTGGCATATCTCTTTCTTTTAACCAACTGTGTCTGAGAGGTGATCAGAGCAACATACTTGAATTCACCCCTTCTCCATTTTAACCTCATAGCAAATATTTTAAGTAGGTTAGGCTGAAATAGTGGCAAACCCAAGGTTATCCAGGCAATTTCAACATAGGTTATTTGCCCCAGGGTTGATGCTATTAGGAAGCACATGTTTTGCCTGCTTCCCAACAACATTGTGGTGCATTTGTACTCCTCCTAGGGTTTTCTTGATTTTTTTGCAATTGTTTCCAAACTTGCTTTGCTGCAACTTGTTAGGAAAGATGACAGAAAAGCCCGAATAGATGTCATGTAGGTGAGGAGAATCAGTTTGCTCTGGTCCCACCCACATAGCAGCCATTTTCCTTGGCTGATCCCCATAGTAGTTTTTTCACTGCTCCACCAAGGGGCTTTCCACCCTCTAACGGCTATTGATTATCATTACAGAATTATAAGAACATGTTGATCGGGTTTCTTTATTACAAATTTTCACTTTTTGAAAAAAAGTAAGCCTCCAAGGTCTTCCATTTGCATATATATGCCTTTCTCCTTGTATCTCCACAGTGAAAGGGGATAGAGACTTACTTTTAAAAAACAGAAAGTGGAAATTAAGGTAAACTGATCCCCATATTGTTATATGCCAATGTAAAAACAAACACCTGAAAAAGGCCCAGTGGTGTGTGTATGTGGGGGGGAATGACCATTCCCAGGATACTGGAGGCAGGGAAGATGTGGGGAAATCTGCCACGTTGCTACTGGGCTGTAGGCACAACTGCAGCAGCAGCAAGGAAACCAGGCAAGCCTGTCTCCTTGTGGGAAACACCTCAGTAAGTTTCATTGCATAACAGAGATTTGAATTTGGTCTCTCCAGTCCTAGTATGACAGGTTAACCATTGCATTAAACTAGTTTTTAACCATATAGTAATCCAGGTAATTATTCAGTTACATGAAAATTAAATTCCCTCTGATTAGGGTGCTGTAATAATATCTTCCAAGATAATATTTACACATTCTGCCTAGGTTTGTATAATTAATGTGGATGTTTACCATCGCAATACAAAAGAATGGTTGTTAACGAATTTAAAATGGTAGTCTTTTCCTTTTTCAGTTTTTCTTGGAGGTGATTGTGCTGTAATACTGTTATTGCATACTGCATTTTTAAATTGTGTTTTTCTTCCAAACATTTCCTCTCTAAATGGGATTTGCTTAATAAAAGTATCTAAACAAAGATGAGTTAGAAAGACTGCATCCTTGTCAGATGTATCATATATTCAGTTATTAAGTTTTTTCTACAAATGGTTTTGCTAATCTGCTGCATTCGCAGAGTGCCTTATTAAAACCATCAAATTTTATGGTACCCATTAGTAAGAATATGAAGTAAGAAAATTACTAGTCAAAATTCCTGAATTCTTCCAATATAAAATGATGTTTACAAAGTAAAATATTGGTTTAAAGCCAGGAATCAGGAGGATTGCAGTGTGTCAGTTGTACCATATGGCTGTAAAAATCTTTTGGCAATAAAAAAGGCCAAATGAACCTTATGTAAATTTACTGCTATTAAGTTCTGGATCATTTCTACCTTTGTTTAAAGCTTCTGACACTTAGATGACTGTAAACCTGTTTTGCAGTTGAATTCTGCCCCCCACTCTGAGTATTTGTTTCTCCCAAAGTAATAGCAATTTTCAAATCTGACAAATCTTTAGAAATGCATAATGATATTAATATATCCATTTGTGTCTTGCAGAGCTGGAGTGGACCGGAGAAGTTACTTGCCTTAGATGAATTGATTGATAGTTGTGAACCAACACAAGTGAAACATATGATGCAAGTGATAGAGCCCCAATTTCAACGGGACTTCATTTCTTTGCTCCCCAAAGAGGTGAGGATTATCAGGGCTCTTGGTGCTGTTTGACTATGTAATGCATCATCTGCCACCTTTAAACACTTCTATGCTAATTATGGTATCCGGTATTGTCAGCGTAACACTGTTAATTGGTGTTAAAGAGGGCTGCAAGTTGACAAACTGCCATGATTTAATAATGTAATTTTCGGATTAATGTATCCTTGTGATACCACTGACTTTGTTTCAGTCACAAGGATATGCCCCATGCTGCTTTTTTCACCTTTATAGAGGCTTCTTTCTTTTGATTTTTTCTTTTAGTAAGAGATATATAAGCCTTTGTTTTTCTGATTTTACTCTTGAACATTTTCTAGATTATTGGTGTTTAGCTTTTCATCTCGTCTCCACATCCACAGCTTGTTTATACAAATTAGTTTCGGATACATAAGATATGTACAGTCATGTAGTGGAAATTCATCAATATGTAGTCCCATTGAAGTTAGCTGTATTTGTGAACTTGTGATTTTAGTACTGTGACTGTAATTCATGACTGGTGCATTGTTCAGAGATGGGCAACTGGAAGGTGTCAGTGAATCTGCACTTACTTTGCCCTCCATCTGTTGCCTTTGAAGGGTATGGATAGTATGAAAGTCACAAGCCATGATTATATTAATTAGTTATCTGATATGCTTACAAAATTTAATTATAGACCTTTGTGAAGAATTATAAATTTTTATTTAAATTGCCTGTCCCTGCTCAAAGTGTATCTGCAGATGAAACCATATGTAATGAGAACTGAAATTCTCCAAGAAAAATTGCAAGCTTCATAATTCTGACCCTTTAGCAAAATTGTGACTAGGTGGATGACTCTGCAAAACATAATGCAGTTCAACAAATCTGACTAAAGTCAATGGGAAAGCAAGTTCTTGATTCAAGTGTTTCATATTAAGAACGCACAGCCTAATGAAGGTCTCAGACTGCAGATCTGTTTCTTCACAGTTATTTTACATGACAATCAAAGATATCAGAAGAAAACACATAGTTGCTGGAATTAATAAGATTAGTGGATTTGTTATTGACAGGGTGTCCCCTTGTATTTTGTCTTCAATTTAAATTGTATGTGATCTTTTCTATTTATGCTTTCCTTAAGTATCTGTTGACAAGAGCATCTCATCTGAAAGTATGCGAATCATGATTGCGATTAATCTATAATATATGCAGTTCTTCATTATTAGGTATTGTTACTGTGATATGACTTTGCCTTAAAACAAGCCTGTTATATCATTTTTGACCCAGTTGATGATGATGTGAATGGCAGTTGCTTTTTCCAGGAAAAACTCAATGCATTATATTCTCTTCCACATTAACAATGTTGTCAGTGGGCTATACTGAGTGTTCTGCTGAAATAATCATAAGTCAAAATGATTTATGAAAGAAACATTTTTTTAAAAAAGTATTTCATCAATAATTGCTGCATAATATAGAAAAGGCTAAATAGCTCACTTTCAAAAACATTTGAAAGATTTCTTCCAAAGAATAAGACATAAACAATGTTGCCATCACTTTTCTAAGTGTACTGTCTGTGTCTGGGGAGAAAAATCATCTTTGAAAACATCTCTATGCTGTTGTCTGGAGAATAAGAGCTCAAAAAGTTTTTGCACAAAAAAATTGGCCTCTTAATGTGAAACATGTATACATCCTGTTGCATTATTGATTACTAGGCATGCTTAAGGATATTAGAATGTCAACAGCAGTTTATGTAGATGCTGCCATACTTTTAGCTTTGACTAAGCACTTTAAGTACGGTTTTTAAAAGTATATTGCTTCTATACTGGAGAGGGCAAATTTTGCCATGCAACTCAGTTGAAGATCACTTTTTAGTGTAGTTCTCAGACCTTTGCAAAGCAATATCAATGCATTAGCTATTTCACCTTTCTATCACTATAACTTAGTAACTAACATAACCTTGAGTTGGATACCTGGGTTTGCTGGAAATTACAAAATGCATTGAAGCTAGAATCAGGATACAGAATTTTAATACTCTGATCCAGAATACGAAGCAGTTTTATTGGGGGGGTTGTTGTTTCTGTTTCCTTTTTTCCCCCATGATCACAAAGATAGATTGCCAGTAAGCATCAGGAGCCTCAACATATGGTAACCCTGCATAGCATGCTGCTACACATTCCTTCCTTCCTGATAACTGTCGGGGGTGCATGGCAATGTAATATAGAGGATGCATCATTCTGGAATCCAGTATACTGCTCTACATTTCACTGAATGAAAAAGGGTCTGATTATGAGTTTATTCCCAATTTTTTAAAATTATTTCCTTTAATAGATTTTTATAACAAAAGAAAGAGAAAATTAAAACATTTCCATCATCTTGTTAAATTACATTTTTGCAGAGAATTTCCAAATACTCAAATAATATACATTTTTCACTGTCATTTAGATGTTGCCATAATAATTGGGTATATTTATATATGTGTGTTTCCCATAAATTCAACAAAATTCAACTAAACTAAGTTCTCTCTTCTAACCACCTATAAAAACTAGACCAATAATTATCAAACATTTCATGATCTTTTTCTTGTAGAATAAAGATTAATTTACCTGCTACATCAAAAATCTTAGAAATCACTTCCCAATTTTTGAAGCTACAACATCACAGATATTTTCTTAGATGCAAAAACTGCAGCAATTGTTTATGAGCTTTTTATTGTTTCAGTTTGATTGTTTTTAATTTGATTAATTGTTTGTGTTCGTTATGTTTTATTTTAAATTATTATGAGCTACTCTGGGGATCTGTTTATTGAGTGACGGTTTAAATACCAAAAAAAATAATTAGTTGTCCTGCATGGTGTGTTCATATTAGCAAACATTTGCTTGATTCTTTTATCCAGTTTTTGACAACACAATGGTCTTTCAAAATGCCATGACTCTTTGACACATAAGAATTATTCAGACATAGCACTCTGTCACTATTTGGTGCTATGGGGACAAGCCCTGAGCTTGCATGCATCTCTGTGTCCCTTCCTGAACTCATGCAATCAGAGTCTGTTAATAACTTATAGTTTAAGGCAAACTATAGATTGCTGCTGCAGCAAAACTGGTAAGCTCTATGGCTTGTTCTTTTTGTCCAAGCCAGGACTGCAAACCAGTTTCGAACCCTGCTAGCTAAGGATGCTTTCAAATGTGTTTTGTTTTGTTTTTTAAAAAGGTAGCCGAATAAGTAGGCATAGAAAGTGTTGTTTTAGGGGTGCAAGAGAGAATGCACTTGTTCTCTTCACTCTTCTGTATAGTTTTAGTGAATTATTGATGGACACTTTATTGGATAATTTCAAATTAGCAGTTCTGGTTTGGAGCTAGTGAGCCCCAAGTACAACAGTGCATGTGAACAACACTGTTTCCCACTGCTGTTTACCCTAGCCATCTCTTCTGATCAGGGGTCTACAATTTGTGGCTAGGCTTGTAGCCAGTTGTTACTTTTAGCTAGCAGCTGTAGAGTCCAATCCCACGGCAATATTACCTGTGATACTATTAAGGTAATTCTGGACTAATATGGCCTTATATTAACTGTGTTGATAAAAGGAAAAACAGGGGTTTGGACCAATTTTATAGTGTTATAAATTTATCTCTCAGCCTAGCCTAATCTTCCTGATTGGATAGTTGTGAGAATAAAATGGAGAAGAGAACATTGATGTACACATGCCAACTGAAGCTGCTGCTACAGAAAGAAAGTTACAGCATTTCAAATCAGGAGCATTCATTTCTGTCCTGGAATTAATATGAGAAATTCACACCACCTAAAGACGGAACAGAAGGGGCGGGGCGGGGAAGGATAATAGAAAGGACAATTCAGTATCATTGAAATTCCCTGGCCACAGGGCTTGAAAAGCTGATTGCAATTCTCATTTCAGTTTTAAGAAAAATTGACCCACTATATAGCACAAAAGTGGGAACAAAATGTCTTGCTTTTTATGCCTGTGCTGGCTGAGAAGCACTGTTGATCACTATGAGCTGTCTAGGATCCAAAGGAAAAGATTACATAATGACTCAGTCTGGTTCTGTCTGGAACTGGTGAGGGGTACCCACTGGGTACAGCACTATGCCTGCTAAATATGAGCAAACAAGACACATGCCTGAGTGAGACTATCCACTGCTGCAGAACATTTTGTACATATAGAACATAATCAGTGCGCTCCTATACATGTTTATTCGGCAAATTAAGTTTACATAGTCTTGCTGCAGTCTTGTGCACATTCACCTGTTAGTGAGTTCAACTGAACTCAGTAGGACTTCCTTCTGAGTAAACATGTATAGGATTGCGCTGTCAGAAACGGGGAAGGATGACTACTACATAGGGTTTCAAGTTCCCCTTTCCCAATGTGCCTCCAATAGCTGCTCCTGCTGCACAGTCCAGATGCCGCAAAATGCTGAGATTTCAGGTTCTCCTTCTTTCTGCCTCTCTCTAGAATTCAGTGCGTACAGGGACTGAAAATAGTGCTCTGCTGCTGCTATGCAAAAAGAGGTGAGCCTGTCACTGAAGTCAGTGGACTTAAATGTGCATAGTTGTGGCCCAATAGAATGTCATCTGACCCCAGGGAACTTGTTTGCCAGGATGGGAACAGCATCAAGGCTGGTATGTTGAAGAGTGCTTTTGTGGAAGGCGTCTTGTGATTCTCAAAAAGCTGATGCTGGGGATCAGGGGGGCCTCATGAGCAAAATATCACTAGGCACAGCAGAGGAGGGTTGCACTGAGTCAGAAAAAATTGCCCACTCATAGGAGTCAGCCATCTGAATGTAATGTGTAATGGCAAAATCAGTACTGACATTCTAATTTTTAATAAAACTTGACTGACTACACCTTTGTGTGTTAGAATGAGCATGCTACCTGAAACACTTCAACACAGTGGTTAGCTCATGTCACGTTCCCAATGCATTAATATGTGAGAAAGTGGGGAAAACCTGTATTTGATTAAGGAATATATTGCTGTTAAAAGCAAAGATATAAGCAATATTTTCCTTTAGCTTTTGGCT